ACCTGGCCTCCAATAAGCCCTTGCTTTAACTAGAGGGCTACAATTTCTCTCAGAATCTCCAGGACCAACATCAATTCAGAACCAGAATTCAACAAACCCCAGAAAGTCTGACTGTTTCCTTTTCCCCAGTATATAGTTACCCTTGTAACAAAAGGCTATAGGTCCCTCTGGGAAAGAACTGGAGAAAGAGTAACTGTAAAACTTTTAGGTGTCTTATCAAGGTTCTTCCTCAAGGAAACTTGGCCACCTCTTCATTCTAGGAGTTCTGGGTTTGCAAACTGGCTCAAGTCTGCAATTCACTGGCTGAGACTGCCTTTTACCATGATCCAATGTAGCCTTTCTTTCATTTGTTTGAGAATTTTTCCACTTACACAGGTCAAACAAAAATTAGTAGCCTTCCTATCTATTTTATGCCTGGAAACACCTTGATTTATTAACCAGCACCAAAGGTTCATACAAGTCACACCACGCTAAAATTCACTTTGCCTGTGTTGACCACTACCAGTTAGGCCATAATTGACATTGCTTTGTCTATACAGCCCACCATGATAACTATGATCTCCTTCCCTTTGGTGATTCTATGCTGCCATCTGGCACCTGCTACTTCAGTGCCCAATTAAACCCGTTAGATTTAATTTGTCCAACTGAGCAGCAACATCTCCAACCCTAAGTTCTTGCACAAGGAAATAGACAACAACAAAACTCTTCAAATGTGGTGGTGCCCCTCTCACCATTTTGCATCTTATAGAGTTGGTGAAGGACATGTCTTCTGGGCCTTCCTATTATGGAGGGTTAGGTTTTATACAGTGCAATTTCTCTGAGCCTTAAAATCCATTCATCAACACTAAGCCAAGGGATATCAGGCATTTCCAACTGTTTCTTTTAATAAACGCTTCAACCAACCATTCACACAAACTTTTGACACTTTTTCTAACTGTACAATAAAACCTACTGTTCCATATTAAACCTAGAATCTAGTAGATGCTAGATTCCACAAGGCTGGGTCTCATGAAGGCATCTTTCTCAACTGATTTTCCTTCCTCTCTGATGACTTTACCTTGTGTCAAGCTGACACACAAAACCAGCCAGTACAGGGCCCCAAACCCTTGGTCCTATAACTTCAACAACCTGCATGATCATACCATGTTACCCAGACTGAGAGATCTAGAGCAGAGACTACACTGGGTGACAACTTTAGAACTCCAGCACTGTAAGGCCTGAAATATGTGCTGCTTTTGGCAAACATATTCATGCTGATTTTATTTCATATCTTTTAAGACAGTAGCTGAGTTACGTATATGTAAGACGTGTTTTGTGGACCCAGTGTATTAAGTTTGAAAGTATCTGTAAAATATAATTCCTCATCAGCTGGGTGGTAGTGCCACATACCTGTAATCCCAGCACTTGAGCAGAGAAAAGCAGATCTCTATGAGTTTGAGGCCAGCCTAGTCTACACTGAGAGTTCCAGGACAGCCAGGGCTATACAGAGAAACTCTATCTCAAAAAGCCAAAATTAATAAATAAATAAATATAAATATATATGTATGTATATGTACATATAATCCCTCAACAAAGTACATTGTATAAAATTCTCCAAGAATAAAATTATACATACACATATAGATATAATCCCTGAACTTACATTTTTAGTACGAAAAGTTCAAGCTCATAAGAAATCAAGTTCACACTGAGAAGCAGAATCTCAACCTGTCTTTACAACTGAAATTTTTCTATTTTGATGGTAAAGTATAAAATAGTATAACCACTTTGGAAAACTATTTGGCAATTTCTACTCTTCAATACATGCCAATACTATGACTCAGAAATTCCACTTTCTGAGTGTATAGTTCTACCAAAAGATGACTGCTGAAGGCAGTTATAAATATACCATACAAATGCTCATCAACAGAATGGACAAACTGTGTATCTTACATCAATGGAAAACGAATACCAGTTTAAAAGAACAGTCTAACAATGTACACAACAGAGATGTATTTTAGATGTTATTCGGGGTAAAAGAAGTCTCCAAGTCTATAATGAAGAACACGGGCTACCTTTCAGTGAGGGTGTGCCTTACTGAAGTACAGTGCCACCTCTATAAAAGACCTGATGGTCACTATATGGGGGACATCTCTGAAGTAGAGTCAGCGCTCAAACATGTGGAGTGAACCTGCTAGAGCCTTGACCTGGGACTTCTCAGTTTTTCTTAAATTTATATTATTTATAAACTATCTAGTAGAACATATTCTATTACAGTAGCACGAATGGACTAAGATGAGTGTAAAGTCCGAGAAGAAACAGCAGCAGGCAGCTATACTAGGTACTGGAATATTCCGTAGTTGATTTGGTGAAAGTTTACATGTGAGACTATAAGTTATATTGCTACAATATGAATGCTGAGGTCCTTTCTAAATCCCTCGTTGAAATATAACCTAAAGGCAAAGCTTCTAATAAAGAAATTAAGTCATGAGAGCGGAGCCCTCATGAATGAATTGGTATTCTCAAGGAGATTCCCAAAGACATCTCTGGAAATGACCATTGCTGGGTCCAGCCCCAGGTGAGGACAGGGCCTAAAGCGGGTGGGCAAAACAGCGCCAAGGGGGGATCAGATGCAGGGCACCTTTTTGTTTCCTGTTACGAGAGACTTGGACAGAGCTGGTATGGCTTGACCTACTCTGACAATCTGCGTCTCTCACAGGCTTTCTTTATACACAAAATCATTTCCTCAAGAACTTTAATCATTGATTATATAGCCTTTTAGGACACATTCTTTTTTTCTAAAATCTTCCTTGGTTACATAAGTATGTTGAAATAAAAGAAACAAAGCAAGCAAACAGCATATTTCATGAGGAACAAAACTTAACATTATGATAAAATCATTTTTCTTTTAACTCAATGTTTTTTTCCTTTAATATTGGTATTGTTAGCCTTGCAATTACAGAAATGTTAGACAGGAATACTCTATCTGAGTTTGACTGTTTAAATCTGGCAGAGTCAATGGACCAAAAGTTATTTCCTACTATCTATTATATCAAACTTACCTTTCTACAAAAGTCCAATCTTTAGTCCCTTGATTAATTCTTCCTTTTCCTCTTTTATTCGTGTTTTATATTTGACATAAGACCACCATTTGCTTTTTAAAATGCTGTGCAATCTTTCTAGCAGCATACAAACATTGCTTAAGCAAAAGCAGTCTGTACTTTGTTTTTGTACAGTATCAGAAAAGTCCTGATCTGACAAGGCAGCTCAGGAAGGCAGACTGTTCACTGAGTCAAAATGTTCCTCTCTGTGTCTTTGTCATAAACCCTTGTTTCAATATAATTCCTATTTTTATTATAATCCTATAAAGGATAGAATAATATCAGGATTCCTAAAACTGCCTGCTTTGCCTTCAGGAAGGTACCAAGGTTTATCATTCATTAATTGTATAAACAAAATCTTTTCCTGTCCATACTTTTCCATGTTTCAGAAGCTGGACACGAAACACTCATGGTTTAGTTATAATATATCAGCTTCTAGAATTTCCCTAAGTGTTCCTTCTTTAATGGTTTTTCTCAGATCCTCTGCCTCATGCTTACTAATATCACTTATTAATGATCTAAGTATTTGGGTCTAAGTAATAGGTTCTACAGAAGATTCAGTTTTCCGCATAGCTGTTTTTCCAGGGAACTACCATTAGTTTTATTCTTATTAATACCAGCTTTTGTTATATTATCCCAGCTCTAGCTTTCTAGGTAAGAGGCCTTTAACAGTGAGGAATATATAGGTGCAAGTAAAGTTGTGTAGCAAATTTCTACCAAGGGCAGTGAAGGGCCAGTTCAGATCATCCAAGAACTGGAACTTTGTCAAACAGCACCTTCAGGATGCTTGGAATTGCCAAATCATGAGTGTACAAACCAAAAGAGCATACTCCACCATCTCCATAGAAGCCTATAAATTGGCAACCCAGATTTCAGACCAACCTTCAAAACAGTGGGAAATGAGTCAGCATTGTTCACAAACTACCAAATCTATGGTTTATACTTATAGCAACCTAAATAGATTAAAACATATATCTCATAAACAGTATTGCTTTTCCATAATGACGTCTAATGACATTTTAAGATATCTGAAACTGTCACAGACTCAAATAAGCTAATGAACAATGAAGCATATTATCATGGTGTTATGCAAATAAACACTTAGCAAAAAACTATCAGCCAGGGCCTTCTTTTAAATGCAGTAGTTAGCACTTAGGCATTCCTCAATAAATAGTAGAATAAACTTCAAATGTAATGCCATTCTGGGGCTTTAGAAGACCAGAAGAATCTATGTATAATATAGAAGACACAAACATCCATACAATAGAGCCTTACAATAGTGCCTATACAATGAGAAAAAAACAAAAAACAAAAAACATGAGTCTTGTCAAATTAATGAAGTCTTTTACCTCCATCTATAAGAAATACAGGCTAGGTATTACGCCACAACCACGGAAACACAGTGATTGAATACTGATGCAAAAGCAGCACCACTCTGATTTTCACACTGAGCCATAGGGATGGAATAGAATACGCAGTTCTTTGTCCTGGAAACCAGGAACCTAAAAAGCCAGTTAGCATTGTCTAGTGAGATTCTCCCACCTTAGTCAGAAAGCCCTTCACCAACCCCAGACTGGGCATCCCCCAAATAGTTTCACACTGGCAACAGCAACTCTCAGGAGGAGAGAGGACTAAGCAGCAAAGGAGAGACAAGTGACTTACTTGCAAAGGACAGGGCACTGGAACCATCCCTACCTTAGTGTCTTTGGTGGCACCCAGGAGACAGGATCCACAGAATCAAGTCTCACTATCACCCCAGAAATCACTGTGAAATTTCATGATTGGCTTAAAGTGAAGGAAATAAAAGTAAAATCACTTCAAAAAAAAAAAGAACCTGAAATAAAGTTTGGGACCAGAGAGATGACTCAAAAAGACCACTAGAAGTGACCATAGAAAAAGCAAAACAAAATTCCAGCTCACCTCACTGTTGTGGCCTCGCAGGTTGAAGTTTATTCTCTGTGGTGTACTCCTATCTCTGCGACAGTGACTAGAGGTGAAAGTCACCCCCACCACACCGCGCCCATTGCCTGTGGCCAGCCACCCTTCTTCATAGTAGCGCCTTCGGCACACTGGCTTCTCCTTCTCGCTCTTGGGGACACGCCCTTTCCAGGACAGGCAGAGGATGTTGGAATCACTGCAAAGCACAGGCCCATGCTCCACTGCTGCATACATACTTTCCGCAATGAATTATTTCACTTAAGAAGTACTGAGAATTTCAAACCAAGTTCTTTCATTGGGCTATTTCTCTGGTTGGGCTCTATTGGTTTTTGTTTTGTTTTGTTTGTTTCTCCTTTAGTTACACCTGATCTAGAGTCTAATTAGGTCAGTATTTTATAAAGATCCACCAAATGCATAATGAAAAAATGCCTCTATAAAAGATAATGTCAGTCTGCTAAGAAAGGTAATGCCTAAAAATACACGGGGTCCATTTTCATTTTCAAGTTCTTAGGGGAAAAACATGCCAATCCTTTGGAGAAAGAGCTGTTAATAAGTGATGATGGAGAATCACTTTTCTTTCTTTTTACTCAGCTTGGTTATTCTCAGCCTGAGATTCCAGTTTTTTGTTTTTTTTGTAATGTGATTCCAGAGATAAAGGGATGCAAACACATGGATTTCAAGTAACTTAAGGCGATAAGAATCCCTCTAGCTGGAATTTTCTATTCAAAAGTTTAAATGCACAGAATGAACACATAAGAACATCTTCCCTCTGAAGCCCGCCTCTGGCGCGTTTTCTGAACTAGACAAATGTCTGCCGTATAGCTGGGAGAGGCTGCATAAGGAAAAAGGCACTCTAACGTGCAAAATCAGATCAGAACTCATGCAGACGGCAGTCGAAATTTTAGGAAGAAAAAGACTCTTTTCCCCAGTGTTCAAAATCAGAAGCTTCCTGCCTCAAAGACTGTCCCTGTATCTGTAGGAACACGGGAACTCCCTAGAATGACTCCTCCACTGGCTGGAGCAAACCTCAGTGCCATAGAGACAGGAGCAAGGCCCCTTCCCTCGGCAGAGGCAGAGGCTAGACCCAATATTTTCCTTAGTTTAATCCTACTTCTCGCTTACAAAAAGTCAGGAGTTTGTTTCTCTTTAAACTTGTTTTTCTGCTCTTTTGCTCCTAAAATTCATATATTCTTGTAACTTAATGAAAAAAATCAATCTTCGAATTAAGTCCATTAATCTTCTCATACGCAAGTCTTTAAACCATGCGCCCAGGTGTGTATCAACAGTCCTCTACCATCTCCCTAGAACAGCTTTAAGATACCTTCCTGTCCACATTCCAGCCTGTTCACAAACCTTTAGACCAAAAAAAAAGCTTTGCTATTTATTTTGTAATGGACAGTTCCAATTAATATTTTAAAATATCATATATATGCAGAAAAGAAAAAGATAAACAATAAATAAAAATTCAAATAGTCAGCTGAAGAAGCAAAGGAATCTGTTCCTTCATTCCTTTTCAGATTTGTCCCCTCACTCTGACACAGCCACAGTAAGTTACTAAGTTTCAGTCCAGAGTTTAAAGTCTGTTCCTTAAATTGGAGAGGTACTCTTGAGGCTCAATCTGTGCAATTTTTTTTCTTCTGCAAACTTGCTTCGTCTGTGAACACCATAAGGAAAATCTGCCATTAGTGATGAACTGTTCTCCATAGACTCCAGTCCCCAGCGGTATGAAGCTGTTCCAGCTGATGGTTAGATTAATTTTCATCAGTTGCAAAACTCTTGATGTTCAGAAAAGGCCTGTCTTCTTATGAAAAGTATTTATGTAGAGAAAGGTTTACATCTACAGATACACTCTTCAACTGGCACTTGATATGTTTGTTTTCCAGGTTAATTCTGGAACCATCAGATTATTCATGACTTGAAGGTCCTGGACTCTTAGAAATCTGTAAAATAACAATGACAAAAAAACAAGATATATATATATGTATTTTTCTTAAGCAGCAAATAAAAGTTCTAACAAGTAAATATTGTAGCTTAAACTAAGACTAGTTTTTACATTGCAACTATCTGATAAAGCCACTGGTTGTAGTGACTGCTGAAATTCAAGTACTAAATGGGTATGAACATAAACCTGTTAATAGCATTGCACTGTCCTTTCTGAAAGTCTGGGTCCTCAATATGGAACTTTCCCCTACTGATGACTTGGTTTAAGCAAGTGTTGTCAAAAATGAAACTCAAGAGGCCAGGAAAGTTAGTGGCATGATTTGCAGGTTTGTTTGTTTGCTTGCTCGCTTGTTTTTCTATCATTATTAAGATACTCCTTAATAACACAAAGCAACAAAGGCCTCTAAAAAGCCCTTGTCTCTGATAACCAGCATGTCACTAATATAGCTGTTTACTCAGCCATCAACTTTTCTACTAGCTACAAACTCCCAGATCAGTGCTTCTCAACCTTCCTAATGCTGCATCCCCTTAATACAGTTTCTCGTGTTGTAGTGACTCCCAACTATAAAATTATTTTCATTGCTATTTCATTACTCTAACTGTGCTATGATTCTGAACTGCAATGTAATATCTTATATGCGGATGGTCTTAGCTGACCCCCTAGCAAAGGGTCAGTAGACGCTTCCCCAAGTGGGTTCTCAACCACTCTACTAGATAATCTTTTGTTGTTTTCCCTGTATTGCCATTTGTGCCATTTGTGCCAATTTGCAAAAGCAACAGTGATCACACTGTCAGCTCCATCAAGACTCAGAGAAGTATAACTGCACTTCTCTGAGAATTTTTAGAAAGCTATGAAAAGTTTTAAAACCAGATTATCTTCATAATTGTCCTACACAGGGTTACTACTGCTATAATGAAACACCATTACCAAAGCAGGTTGGGGAGAAAAGGGTTTACTTATTTGGCTCACACATCTATATTGTAATCCATCACTAAAGGAAGTCAGGACAGGAACTCAAACAGGGCTGGAACCTAGAGGAGCTGATGCAGAGGCCATGGAGGGGTGCTGCTTATTGGCCTGCTCAGTCTGCTTTCTTACTTAGGATCACCAGCCCAGGGATGGCACCACCTATAACAGGCTGAAACCTAATTAGAAAAACTCAAATTTTAGCTTTATGGCAGTTATTCATTCTCAGACCTCTGTGGGCACATGGCACTTGCTTGACCTTAAATTTGACCTTGAATCTCTATCCCCAGAAATTACTAATGGCCTACAGGCAGATCTTACGAAAGCATTTTCTTTTCTGGTTTTGAAACAGGGTTCCTCTTTGTAGCCCTGGTCATCTATAGTCCAGGCTGGCCTCAAACTCAAGAGATTTGCCTGCCTCTGCCTACCAAGTACTGAGGTTAAAGGCAGGGCACTGCCCAAAGAGGAAGCATTTTTCTCACTGAGACTATGAATTCATAGTGGAGTAAAGCAAAAAATACTTTAAATAACCAGGAGGGGGAAAGTACTAAATGACCATTTAAAAATATATTTTAAAATGATAAAATGACACAAAAACATAATGCCCGATACTTGGCATAGCTTCAATTATTTTTATTAATCTAAGACTTCCTGCCAGGTGTCGTTGCACATGCCTTTAATCACAATATTTGGAAGACAAAGGTTGGAAGATGTCTGTTAGTCGAAAGAAGGTCATCCTGGTCTACTTAACACGTTCTAGGACAGCCAGGGCTACATAGAGAGACCCTGTCTCAAAAAACCAAGCAACCAAAAACCAACAATAAGAAAAATACTTCCTTTCTTTTAATGTATTCATATTACACTGGTTTTGCTACCAATTAAAAATCAGTTACACTAATGAAAATCTATACCAAAGTCAACTCTCAACAACAAACTTACAAGTTGGTTAGTATAAGAAAACAAAAGCAGAATATATAAGAAATGTGCAATCTTCTTGACTAACAAATTGTGACAATTGATTCCCCAGCTAGTTAGGAAGTTAATCTCATGACCTAAACCTCTGTCTAGCCATTCAGCAAATGACTCAATTAGCCTGTTACAAAGAAGTGCAATTTCATGTCACAGTAGTTTCTGATTTAGGGACTAATTCAATGAAAAAGAAACAAAACAAAAAGGAAAGGAACATGACTGGTCCCAGGTATTGTGGAGGACAAAAAGGAGAGCACAGCCAGAGGCATGGACATCTGGGAGAGTACAGTGAGGAGAGGTAGGGGAGGAATAGAGAGGGAAGAGAGGGGAGCTAGGTGCAGCAGCTACAAAGCCCAAAAGAGTAGTTGAAAGGGGCCGGATAGACTAAATTGCTGGATTATATAAGGAAGGGCAGCTGGGGGAAGAGAGTAGCCCAGCCCCAGGACTAGAGAAGTTTTGAGTAGGGGCCAGGTATGGCAGCCAGAAGGGCCTTGTAACCTGTAGGGACTGAGAGACATGGAGAGAACCTAGAGGCCAGGTCTGCTTTGATATGTTAAATAAACAACTCAGCCATTTGCCTCAGGTTTGAAACCTAACACTGATTTCTGAGGACAAAGATTCAAATGCTACATTTCAAGTCAAGCAAGTGTCACGTGCCCACAGAGGTCTGCCACTTTGAGAGCTTCTTGGAAGAGAATTAAGTCTGCCATAGCTCAATAAGAACTTCTACAGGAGATAAGTGTTCTAACAATAAGCTCCACTCCCAGTCCGATTTTTGTTAATACTGGACTCAGGAGACAGATTATGACCCTGACCAGTTGGTATCTGTTCAGTGTTCAATAAACTTCCATCAATGTGAGTCTGGCGTGGTCACCGCGCAGCTATTCCCAAACCCGTAACAGGGCAGTATTCCCCACTTAAATTCTCTGCTAGTTGTTACTGTAATTCCCAGGTAGTAGAAACAATGGCATAAACAAGAATGGAGTTGGGGGGGGGGAGGTTCAAAGGGACATGAATAACAATAGGATCTGGGGTCCAAAGGACATATGATGTTAAGTTCCATCTGGCCTGTTAAGTATGCGGTACCCAGAAGCACTTAAATCTGAGCTTCCAAAAAGTACAGGTCAGAGAGACATTCACTTAAAAGTCACTTGACATAAAGCTGAGTTAGCTACAGAACGCAAGGGAGAAGGTGAGGATGGAGAAACAGGTCTTTCAGAATACAGTCCAGGAAAGAAGCTGCATGAGGAGAATTCATTCACAAGAGTGCTTGTGAGAACACGCCAAGAAAATAGGACAAGAATCTTGTGACCTTAGTTTCTTCAAAACATGGAATTTTTCTTGAACTGTGAGAGAAGCATAAGCTGCTTCTCTCAGGTGTAGCAGATGGTATGAGTTTACCTCAGATTTCTCACTACTGCTTGCTGTTGTTTTTCAATTAAATGTTCAAACTATGTTTTACATGACTCCATGGAAAAACATGTTTTGCCAGTTTGGCTTGTCCTTGTGACTGTGTAGAACTTAAACTCATGAGAATTTTACTCATGTGATCTTTTTTAACCCTCAGAGTATAAATTGTCCGATGTTCTGACTAAAACTGCCTATTGCATAAGGCTTTTAGTCCACCTCATTTTTCGGATCCATTCTCCCAGGTCCCACGGCCTCTAGAGCAGTGACATGGGTCTAGTGGCACACTCTAACAGCCCACATCAGGTAGAGGTTTAAGATGCAGCTAGGGAGTATAAGAAAAGTTAAGAGAGAGTTCAAGGTGAAGAACAACATGAGAAGAGCACACTCCACACACTCCACACACACACACTCCACACATACACCACAGCACACTCCAGGAAGAAATATTCCCTGAACAACCACCACAGACAGAGGTTGAGCTGGCACTGGGACTGAGCCAGTCAGTGAGGTCTAGGCCCTGATCCAAGCAGCAGCAGCACAGTAGGAGAAGACATACAAAATAAACTTCTATATGAAGAAATCAGTGCTGCAAATGATAGCCAACAAGTACTCAAGGCAGAGTTGAGTCTTGATGCAACTACGTCTTTGGCAGCACAAAGTCAATGCAACTGGACCTGAAGGAGATATCACAACAGCAAAACAAAGACAAACCTGGGACCAAACAAGAAAAGTTTAGTGACAAAAATTCCAGGGACAAGAAAATCTTAATTAGTGAGATCTATAAGCAATAGAATGGGCTTAAATAAGGAAGGAGCTAGAAAATACATCTGAATGAACACTTGATCTACCAATAGAGCAGATGCCATGGCTATGCAGGTGAGCCTCGTCCAAACTATGAGATCACAGGTCTCAAATCTGAGTGCAGTGCTTTCCAGATCTTCAGATATTAAAACGTCCCAATTAAAAGGTCCCCATTCTGAAAAACCCAGATGCTGATAATGCTATTTTGGACTGGGGATGATCAACCTATACAATTCTGCAGTCAGACTCACTGAACAACAGCCTCATGCTCCCAACTGATTTTTTCTGTGACTCTATTCCCTCAGGAGTAAGAACATGGGGAAACTAATACAAACATATGAAGGCCCAGCAAATAATTGCCTGGCTGACATGTAATATTCAATAATTGTTGACTACTGCTATTATTACTTCATTGATATCCTACCATCCATAAAATTTGGAATAAAGTGAAACGACATTCAAAGGCAATGCACTCTGATGCTATTCTAAGGGTAGAGATAAAATAATGCAGAAGGGAAGAGTTATCTGCAGCTACAACTGAAGCCCAAGTGCGCCACTTGTTACTGGATGGCCTTCTCGTGATAGTGGGCTCCTGAAGGGGAGAGGCTGAGAGAGCTAAAGGCCTCTGCATTGCCATGGGCCACTGCTCACCTTCAAGTTCACAACCTCCTTGAGAGGTAACGCTCACATGAAGTTCAAAGATTTTAAATGAGACTTTCAAAACTTACCAGCCTATGAGTGACAGAAAGAAGATTCCACATCTCACGCCGATACTCTTATTTTTTTCTACCAAACTACACTGCCAAAATTAACAAGACATATCTACTCCACACCCATGTTG